CCTTCTTGGTCTCGAAGCCAGTCATTTCCGATAAGGGCCGGATCGGGTTGGCACGGCTGCTGGCAGCGCCATCCCCCGCCTTCTTTGCCATTCTTGCTACTGGCATGTTGGCTTGCGAGGTGACCCCATGCAGGCGGCATTGGGGGTCCCCCCTGACATGAAGTTTCCTTAGTCCGACAGTGCACTTGCCATCCCCGTATCTGCAGAGCTTGCAACGCGCCTCTCCATCATCATCTTCCACATAGGCAGACATCTCCACGTCCCCCGGCAGGAGTATCACGGACTCTGAGGTGTTGGCGTCCCCCACCCAGCACACAGGTACTTTGTGATCGGCTTGGTGTCACCGTCAAGGGGGCCCTTGATGCAGAGGATTGCGGCCCCCCCGCGGAAAGGAACCGAATGAAAGTCTTGCAGTGCCCTCGTTCCCCTCTGTGTTGTAGAGTCACGAACTTCCGGTTCACCTTTATGGCTCGGGCTACGGACCTGTCCAGGGCCACTGCAACCACACGGCGGCGGACGTTGGACTCAAGCCCCCCTCCGCTCAAGGGAACGTCCACCCTGGAGAAGCACTGGGAACAGCCAGTACCCCCCCAGGGCCGTCCCTGAGCGCCCCCGAAGGAGCGGCAGGTTGACTTGAGCCTCTTTGCTCTTTCTCGCTCTCTCTTTCTTTCGGCAGGGCTAGAGGCAAGGGGATTTCCGCTCTCTCTCTCTGTCTGTCTGTCTCTGTCTGTCTCTCTCCACATAAACATCTGTGTACATATATATATATAACATTATATAATAATTATATATATATATAATATAGATAGAGTTTGTTGCACCTGTATGTCGTTTGGTTGTATGCAAGCATGAGCTGTTCCACATAAATGCATGATTAACCTTAGTGCGCAGTTTTCGGTTGCATCGTGCCTCGCTGCAAGACATCGTGTTTCGACCACTCCTCACCCTATCAACCACCAATAACCGATAACCAATGTGGCCGTTGGCCGTTGGCAGGATCGAGTATCGTTTAAGGCCAGGTATAGGACCGTGCGATGAGATGCGCCAGCCACACAATGACAAACACAGCTGCTCCACCCTTAAATCTGTACCCTGGCCGTCGAACACAACTCGGATGAAGTTGCACTAGTCAATCAAGACAGGAACGCCGGCTTAAGTCTTGCTGCTTTACTTCTTCCCTGAGCTGGCTTTCGTCCACACTAGCGGTAGCGGAGCATCTTTGATGCTGCTTTGGACACAACCTTTCCGATCTCCGTCACTGAAGCTGCTGACCTCAATCCGGATCCTTCAGGAGTGGGCACTTGGAAAGTGTGTTTCCTTTCGCAGCTTCATTCTGACTGTGCCACCAAGATGAAGAAGCCCGGGACCGCCGTCACAGCTGTTCAACTCTACCGAAATATGCCGTGAAGTACACGGTCCTGTTTGCGGATCCATGCCATGTCCTTTGCGTTCCTTTACAATTAAACGATTACGGAACGTAATTTCCGTCGCGTCTGCCCACCTGCACTCTGGCTTCACGAAGGTGTGCCTGCTTTGTTCGTCCTTTGCTGAAAGCTTCAGCTGCTATCGAGCTGCTCATAGCCCACTCCAGGTCCACCCCTTCCCTCTGCTACGACTGAGGTGCCCCTTCCCAAGGCCTTCAGCTCTGTGCCCGCGCGCCCACGTTCGGAGCCAAAGATGGCCAGGCCCTCCACATCATCCTGCGAGGCAACTCGAGGGGTAAGAGCTCCTCTGGTTCAGATCTGGTCCAACTAACATTGGCCCAGAACATGCTCTGACAATCTGCTTGCCTGTTGGTACGTCGGAGGAAGGCCCCTGCTGTCCACGAAGAAGATCAACGTCTCCCAGTCCTGTGCGGGCTCGAACCCACACACACACACACACGGACTACTGTACCACAAGTTGTAGATCCATCTTACCAATCATTCGCCGGAAGACTCGAACATGCTTGACATGCTGAGTGCTCGCGTGAACACCTGGATCCCCCGCCGCAAATCATGTTGAACCCAAAGGACGCCATCACTCCGAAAAGAGCACGCAAGTCGGGATGAAGAGCGGGCACCTCTTCCAGGCGGCTCAAGGTCTTCCGCCTGGCAGGGGTCGTAGGCTAGCCGGAAGCTGTCCTGCGCACTCCTGGAGCTGAGCTGCTGAGCTCCCTGCTTATCGCCCATGACATATCCAATGCAATCTTTAGGCACTGGAACCAGGGTCACGTCTTCGCGCACTGACGGGTCGATGGAGATTCGGCCTTCCACCGAACACATCGACTGCTCCTGCCCCAGGACCCGGCCGCACCGGCCTGTCTTGTTTCCAACTTGGTCGCAAAGCCAACCTGACGGCATCATGATCAGGATGCGGGCTCTTTGCTGCAATGTTACTGCACAGGTCTGGTATTGAGTGCCCTATGTACATCGTCATCCATGTCCGTTCTCACACAGACATGCAGCTGTTGCTGTCCCATGGTGTGTCCAGGAAAATCGCGAGTCTGCAAAATGCAGTACGGCAATACAGTTCCAAAAGAGGGGACAAGCCTAAGTATTCTCTTCCGCGGCGCCGGTTTGGCAAGTAGCCAGCCTGAAAGATCATTCGTATCTTTTTCATCACTCTTCAGAAAGCACTGAGCCCTGGACCATGAACGCAACGTTGCCGACATACTCCATGATGCAACCTCAATATGGGTATCGCGGCATGCAACATGCAACTCATAGCAATGCCGGTTAGAATCTAGATGGCAAGTGCGTCTTGAAGTCCTGGCACCCTGTGCTTCTCTACAAATTTCGAGATGTCCGAACTCTAGCCGGCAATTGCAACGAAGCCACCGCTGGCTTTCGCCAGCTTTTGGCGCGTGGAGCCCTTGCGGCCCAGCACGTAGGATAGCTGGTCGCTGTGCATGGGGTAGGTGTCCGTGCCCCACCTGACAAGCTCATCCGAGTCGTGCGTGTTGCAAAAGCCATCGAATTGCCCTGAGGCAAAGGGCTCGTCCCAAGACTGGGTCTCCCCAAGGTTCGTGGTGTAGAAACCCGGGAGCTTCGTCTCAATGGCAGCCATGACCTGACGTCCGCTCACACCCTTGCCTATCTTCTGTGAAGTCTACTGAGGGAGGCCTTCAGCTCTGCGCCACAGCGTGCCCAAAGCGTCCCGAAAATGGCAAGCTTTTCCTTAGCCGTTCCATCTACACTGGTTGAGGAGACGAAGATGCGACTGCTTGCAATGATTGTTGAGGCAAGTTATGGCACGTGACGTCACCATGGAGACTGCAAATGTGGCTTTGAGTGATGAGTCAGCTCGAAAGCAGCCCCCGAACAGCCGACAACTTGGCCCCGCATGCTAATGTTCCTTCTTCACGGCCAGGCCACTGAACTCCCGCCCCACATGTCCAAGCTTCCACCTTTCATCCAGAGTGAAGTAGCTCAGATGCCATCTGGAATCTAAGCACTTCCAGATGTTGAACCCCGCTCTTTGTCCGACTGCGGAAGGTCACATGCAAGCGCCTCCTTGGTAGTCGCAGAAGAACATCAGGGTACCCCATTCCTTCAGAGCTTTGGCACACCGCTGCGTGACATGTCGATATAGCAACTCCATTCCACAGAGCTACCCCTAAGGACATCGACTTGGAGTAATTGGCAATCTTTCGGAGTTTTGACACGTGAGCTCGGGCGCTTGTCATGCCTCCTCGCAGGTTCGAAGGAAGTTGCCCTGGCTGCCAGTGACGAAGCCTTGGCTATGGAATCACATTCTCCACACGCCAAGGCTGGTTTTTCCGTTCCACAAGCCTAGTGTGATTTACATTTGGTGACAGCATGTCGAAATGGCTGCCTGAGCTCCTAACCCACACAGCTGCTCGGAACGGCAATGAGTGTGAGGTCCTGCACATGAGTACTTTCCTGCTCGCTTGCAAGGGTCTCCCAAGTCATGCATTGCTCGGTATCACCCAGGGGATGCGACTCCGCCAAGGAATCACGAGCCGAAACTCTTCCGCCGCTTAAAAACCCCGGTCCCCATCATCGTGGGACTCATCGACGTGCACGGGCCCAACTCTCTGAGCACGAACCAAGTCGATGTACTTTCGTGCTCGCGCGCGGGCTTCGTTGTCGCCTGGAGCGAGTGATGAGACCACCAAGAACTCGGATTGTCCCTCTCGTGTAGCACAGCTGCAGCACGTTCGAGGTCACTACCGTAGATCTCAACCGTGCTGTTGCGCTCGTGCAGCTCCAGCTGCGCGGCCGAAACCTCAGTCTGTTTTTGGTTCGGACATCTGCATGCCCGTGACGTGAACTCGCATGTGCGGTCTGCAAGGTGCCCAGCCCTTGCAATTTTGTGCTTGGTCTTTCCACCACGGCCGAGGATGAACGCGGCGTCATCCTTCCAGTTCATGCTATTTCCGTGTCTATAAGCTTGCTCGAGATCCATCAGCCGTGCGAGTAGAGTAGCCCTCTTGCAGCGGTCCTCGCTGACACGGAGGACGTCGCAGTCGCGGCCGGCTGCGTGGAAGGCGCGGCCTGCTGACACGTTGCCGTGCATGCCATGCTCTGTTTGCTGTCTTCAGAACGCCACCCCGTAGCAAGTTCCTGAGACTATGGTTCTGCCTTGCCCACCCGAGTGATGTGACGGTTGCTCGTCGCGCCGCTTGATGGTGACGTCCTAAGTACAGCCAAATGGGCATTGTCATAGAGTTTCAACTGTAGTTGGCTGCCAGCAAAACTCATGCCATTGCATGGGCTGGCCAAGAATCTGCATCGTCAAGCTCGAGCCCATGGTCTCGGTAAAGCTCGTGAATGACCTGCTGACCACACGTGCTGCGCACGTCACGAGATTCATGCCGCGACTCTTCAACAGCATAGGAACGGGTTTCACCAGGTAGCTTGAACAGGCTTGAACTTGAACTAAAAGTGGCACCAGCACTGACACATCTGAAGCACCGGGCAGTACCGGAACAAGCCGTCACAGGCCTTGAAGGTTTGATCCACGCTGTCCTGGTGTCCCTGAATCTTGAGCCTCACAGAGTGCTGTGTGCCTTGCGAGACGAAGCACTTAAGGTTGAACCGGGGCTTTGGCAGATCCTTCGGCTCCTCGACTTCGGCAGAAGAGATCCAGGGCATGGGCCGAATATAGTGACCTTAGAGGTGTGAAGGCTTCAGAGGCTAGCAGAAAACGACAGCTATGTCCCGGGGCAGCGACTCACTTTGTTCGCAAGTGCTGCTGTGATCCTGCAGAACTTTACTTGTGGCATCTGTGCCTTTTTAGGCTAGTGACTTCGACAAGTGCAAAGACTCAGAGCAGCACTGCGGCTGCATCTTCACTTTGCCTTGGCTCTCGGATCGTTCAACAAACTGTGCTTCCTGTACTGATACTCCTTGTGGTGCGGGTCTGCTTCTAGTGCCATTTGGTCCAGGGCTCAGGTGACGAACCTGTCTGCGAACTGCTGCAGCTGGCGCTTCGCCTTGCACGGCTGACGCTGAGGGGTCTCTGGCGAACGGGAAATCTTCGAATCAAATTCCTTGTTTTAACGTATCCGGCAGGTAGTCCTGGAGCTGCAAAAGAAGGCACAGAAACCCCAGGGGGGCCCCCGGGTAGCTGCGAGCTTTTCTGAGGCCTCGGCCTGGCCGACCTTCTCCGAGGTCCCTTGGATTTGGATCATGGCCTTCTCCTTCATCAGCCTGGCCCGCGACAAGGAGAGCCATCTGCCATGCTATGCCGTTGAGAGCCACCAGCAGAAAACAAGCCCGGAAAGCGTGAGCTTGGTCCCAGTTGCATTTTCGACGTCCTGCAGTGGTCAAAGAACAAGAACATGCCCTCGCACGTGTCGCTCAGATTGACCCATGTCACCTCGATCACAGGGTCTTCGCCATTTGGGCCTGTCTGGATCATAACCTGGTTGGCAAGGAGAAATTGCCAGGCAAACTTCTGACATTAGCAACCTTGGAGCGCACGACTACTGCTACTACTGCGGTGGTGGTAGTGGTGGTGGTGGTGGTGGTGGCGCTGCTGCTGCTGCTGCTCTTAACCTGCTACTCTGCTACTCCTGCCAGACTTCTGCCGCTGTTCGTGCTGGTAGTGGCGGTAGAAGTGGTGTGAACAGCAGCAGCAACCGGCAGGCGTAGGAGGACAACGACGCCGTGATGGTGTGATGGTTTGCTAGTTGTTCTCTCACACACCCACGGCGCGCTGAGGCGTCTGCATGGACACTGATGTCGCCTCGAAGAAGGAAGCTGTCACCTCAAGCCCGTTAGCAGCAACGGAGCGGAGGCGGCTACCAGTACAAGGCTACGCCCGAGATAGCTTCGACTTCGCTGCAATGCACGCATGTCTCCGCCGTAGGGCGAGGACTCACTTCCAGCGGCTCCTGCCAGCCGCCGTAGTGCCTGTCGCCTGGCACATGGCTTGGGAGAATGAGGTTCCTGTATGCGGTTCTTCTATGTTTGTCACTAAATCACTCTGACAAGGCCTAGCACGTCTTCACACCAGCTCTCAACGCGGGCCTTGGTTGGACCAGCCGTACTCGCCACCCCAGCCTCGACAAGAGCTCCAAAATGAAGCGGATGGACTTCTAAATTCTAGACTTCTAGAGAGCAGCGCTCGCACCTCCATCATCGTCATTCCTAGCAAGCAAGTGTGTGCTCCAGTGCTCCGATTCATGGGTGCAGCGGGTTGCAACGCAAGTTTCTCTTGCCTGCTATCCTTGCTGTAGCTAAACAGACTTCTGTAGAGGGACACAGCAGACGGCCTAAGGCTTCAGGTCCCAAAGCCCTCAGCAGTCCTGTATCTTTCGTCAATCTTTGCCAGCGCAACAGCTTTTGCCTTTTCTCTTCCTGCCTTGTCGTGTCCGAAGATGAGGAGCCTGCCATAGGGCCGCAGGCCAGACAAAAGAAAGGGAGACCTGCGATCCGTCGCCTCTCGGACTTGCTGGAATTGCCCTCCAAGAAGCAGAAGGTCTTTGTTTCCTTCTCAAGGTAGCCGGCATGCTAGGATGACACTTGAGTCTGCTGTGCCACCCACCATTTGCCTGCTCAATTCCGCGCAGAGTCATGCTCTTGAAAACGCTGGCAACAGCCTGCATGTCGATCAAGCAACGGGGCATTCTCTCCTCGCTCTGAAACCTTTTTAAACCCCTCCGTTTAACATCGTTCAACATTCAAGCCGTCCGATGCCGGGATTAAGGGGACGGCCGTGGCCTCAAGGTCATGCGGAATGTCCACAATCGTCACATCGTTTCCTTCGCAGGATTTTTCATCAAGTGAAAAGGCTAATCACTGATCACAGATATGAATGCCAGTTCAGTTCATTCAACTCAGAACAGCGAATCAACACTCTCAATAGCTTTCAATCAAGTATGCTTTCCCAGCAACAACTTTTGCACACCGAGCATCGATTATGGGTGTCCACATACACGGTGCCCGTCCGCTGCTTCAGCAGCCATCCGAGGTATTCTCTTGCGCGCCTGCAATACGAACGAGGGGAGAGGCTCAGTACGGACAGGAAAGGCTCGGCCAACGACAACTGATTGAGAGTGGGAAGGGAATGTAATCACTCACCCAACACTGCTTTCTGCTCCGCTGCACCTTCGAGCTGGAAGAGATCCAGCCATAAAGGCAGCATGTCCGACATACCTCATCCACGATCAAAGCCGTTCATGCAATGCAAAGTGCGGGTAGGCTCCTGCCCTTTCTGCCACCGACTGTCCCAACGCAAACCTTCAAACCATGTTTCTGGACCGGTGTCACTGGTTGCGATTTGACGACTTGAAGTGCATCATCGTTGTATTTGATATTGTTCAAAAGTTGTTCTCGCTGCTGGCGCTTGTCGTGGTCGGTACTCGGTACTACGAACCACCGCTCTTCGTCCCTATCATGACTGCTACACACCTTGAGCTGACAAAACTGCAGCTGAGAAGCTCCAGGATGCATCCGCTGGCCTTGGCAAGCTTCTTGCGGGTCGCACCGTCCTGTGGGCGGAAGCCCAGTTTTTCGGCTGTAGAGTCCACTGTAGAGTTTCAACAGCTTCTGCCTTCATCAGGGTAATGAAAGCAATATATATATATATATGTATATATATATATATTAATACATATGGTTTAGGGCTGCTTAAAGTCTTGGGTTCCGTGCAGCTCAGCAGTCCTTCCCCAGGGCGAAGGAGAGCTCCTCGTCTCCCAGTGGAATCGTGTCGCGTCCCCACTCGTCCTGGGCTGAGGACTTTGGCAGCTCTTTCGATCCTCTTCTTCGCGGGTTTGACATTGAGGACTTTGGGATTGGCTGAAGGATGAAGGCGATGGCTGGTGCCGGCGGTCCGAGGATCTGGGCAGCAATGGTCGGTGATGTTCTTGGTGTAGAAATACCTCCGGGTCGGGTTGTGGTCGGAGTCTTGGGCTGCGCGAGGATCCACCGCTCCGGGCTCCCGGCGGCAGCTTCGCCTCAATCGCCGCCATGACCTTGAGCTCTGCCCCCGTCCTCCCGGCTCTGGCTCCGAAGATGGCCTCAGCACCCAGGCCATCTCAAAAGGAGAGCAAGCAGTGCGAGCTCAGCCAGCCGCCAAGTTTTCAGAGTCTCCAGGACTTCCACCAGGACCTCAAAGCAGAGGCGAAAGAGCTCATCACGATTGATCAGAGCTTTCGACGCAGGGTGAGAGTCTTTCCCTTGGCTTGTGTTCGACCTGGCCTTGGTAGTCACAGAAGAACATAAGGGTGCCCCACTCCTCCTCGCAAGTCCTGCACGAGTGCAGAAACCCCCAAACACTCTGCTCTTAAGCGGATCGAGTTGGTGAACTCATCCGAGTCCTGAGGAAGTTTCCCTGCGAGCCAGTTACGAAGCCGACACAGCTCGTTGGCACCGGGATCATGGTCAGATCCTCACAGGATCCGCACAGAATGCGAAAAAGGGGCCCACAACAACCCCAAACCTATCGGGTACTAAGAACCGCTCCCCGTCATCGTGTTGGTCGGGAGTGACGTGCACCGGCCCGACTCGCTGAGCACGAACCTGAGTCCAAAAAGGAAGAGGCAAACATCCAATCGCCTCGGCCTGCTTGAGATCACGATGAAGGGGGTTCGCTTTCAGAGTCTTGTCTTCTGCCGCCTCGAAACAAGGTTGATGTACTTCCTCGCTCTGCGTCGCTCAGGATCTGCGCCGATGATCTCCACCGTGCCTGAGCTTCAGCAAACCCCGAAGTCTACGCATTGCGGACCAGCGCTCGAAGCTCAAGCCGGTGTCGCCAAGTCCACTTGGAGAAGCAAGTAGTCTTCTACTTGTGACCAATACTACACATCCCTTATCTACGAATCTACATCACTGATCAGATGTTTGGCAGGTGACAGTTGTGCTCGTGCAGCTCCAGTGTTGCTCCAGACACCCGGGCGATCTTGTGCTTCGTTTTGCCGCCGCGGCCCAAGATGAAAGCCGAATCCATGTCCTGTCGGCCAGAAGCAAAACACCAAGCCCTTACTAGTAAAAACCCTAAGCCTGAAAGAAAAAACCGCAAAAGCAACTTGAAAACTCCAAACCCCCTGAACCCTGAAGCCACCACAGCCTCAAAAAGCCCTAAGCAAAAGCCATCTTGCACCCGAAATGGGAAAAAAGGCAGCCAGGGAGCGGTCAGCTGAAGGATCTCTGCTGTCTTCCCACCCTCACGGCGGACCTTCTCGACGCCTTGGGCAGGATGGGATTCGGGGATTCGGGGCCCCGAGATGTTTCCGAGGGCTTCGTCATCGGCCTTTCAGAGATTCGATAGTATGCTATGCTGTGGTATATAGCTTATAGTCAGTAAATATAGTATCGGCATATCTATACTAAGTTACAGATGACCATTCTAGAAGACGGACAGGTTTTGAGAGCGCGAGCCTTCTGCATCGGGCTTGCTCGCGCCGCTGCTGCGAGACATGCTGTGCTTCGCTGCAAACCTGCAGATTCGAGGAAGCCCAACAGCGTTGCAGGATTTCAATCTATGTATGGACGTCTTCCAACGCCACGCACTCTGGTCTGACTCATGACTCTCAGCACCGGGATTTGATGCCGGAGGCCCCGCAACCCAATGACCCTGCATACTTTGTCATGACCTTACGCTCCCGGGGCGGCAGATACTTTGCAGCACCCTGAGAGTCCCGTTCAGACGAGGTGCAAATCAGCAGAAGGGATGGGCCAACCCTGCTTCTCGAAGAGGCCATCGACTTCTGCCCGAGCCTGCGTCCAGAGCAACTTCCGAGGCCCAGCCACATCTAGGGTACAACTTGAAGGCACTTAACTCATCGAGAAGCCAGCAAAGGCACCCGAGCCTCGTTCACAGCATCCGGAGCTCCAGAGAGGGTCAGCTTCAGCTGCTCCTGCTGAAGTCAGAGGCAAAAAAGGATCAGAAAGACTGAACGACAGGGTCAAGCCGCACTCCTTGTTTATCTGAGCCATGACCAGATGCCGGAAGTTGTTCCTCAGTGATATGCGGAGCGTAACCAGACAGGACTCGTGCCTAGAGATGCCTTTTGCAAAGCAGAAACAGACAATAAAGGACAAGCACCAACACGGCCTGCGAAGAGGGTTGCTCTCACATGGTTATACGGTGCTGCCGAGCAGCAGCTTGTGGAAGCGCTCCTTTCCCAAAGCAGAAACTTTCTCCAGCTGCTCCTTCTTGAGATGCACCTCCACGAGCCCAGACGTGGCCAAAGGCTCTCAACCCAACGCGACTGCGCCTCGTGGGTCACGAAGGAGCTCAGAAAGGTCTGCAGATCTTTGCGTGCATTCGAGACAACCTCGGCACGGCAGCAGAAACTTCTTTCAAGCATAAGCAATCGAGCTCTTGTGCAGCACCAAACTCCGATGAGGAAAGCCCGTGCCAAACTCCGATGAGGAAAGCCCGTGCGTCTTTGCCAGTCGTTAGTTGTCCCCTACAAAAGCCGAGGCGTACACGACCGAGAAAGCATTTGGCAAACGGAAGTTCGAAGTTCAAAGACCCTTCCTTTCTCGCAGCATCTTAGCTGCACACCGAGAAGATTCCAGAAAGGATAATCTTCTTCTCTGCCTGCTTCACCTGCGATGCTTCCAAGATGTGAGAAAGCCTCTCAACCGAGTAAGGCTGTACGGCTTTCCGGTTGAGATTCTAGCACAAACTTGGCAGGTGTGTCTTTCAGGCCCGTCCTGTACGCGAACTCGAGTTCGGTTTCTGACCTTCGGACAATGGACAAAGCGCAGAGATTATCGTGAACGGATGCAGGCTTGCTTTCAGTCTGAAGTCATCCGTTGAACTCATCTACGTCCGTGCTGCAGGCCTCTTCCAAGATCGAAGGCGTGCCATCTGCTGCTTTAGCAATAAAGATGTGGAAAGGGACGCCGCTCGGGGTCGTAAACTCCTTCGGTCAAGATCGTGAAGAGTCACCAACTTGAGAGGCAAGCCAATGACAAGAGCAGGCAAGCCGGCTAAACACTGACTAGCTGCAAAGCAGTTCCACTGGTATTCCTCTATTAGAACGCGAGCTGTGAGTGATTTGTCACGGAAATTCAAGCGTTCGGGTGGAGGGGCACCTAGTCGACTGAAGCGCGCTCCTACACCCTCAACAACAGAAAACCCTAGACCTAGACCCTTAGCCCTCCCTTGATGCCAAAACTCCACACCCTAGATCCGTGTCGCACCTGACACGGCACGGCAGGACTGCAACCTGTGTCACCGCTTTGCACCTTCACCCCCTTGCCGGTGTGCCGCTAGCCGAATCTATGCAGCAGTTTAGGCTTCGATGCTTGTTGCTTGGCCTTGCTGTAGCAGGGACTGCATATGATAAGTGGCTTTCCTTATAGATGTCGTCGATTGTGCGTCTGTGCGTGCGGTTTGCGTGCGCGTGCTTGTACGGCGTGGTAGCCCTCGGCCCCTCACCAGCCTTCCCAAACTGAGTTTTCTGTGAACAATCAGATTCGCTCGTGTGCCTTCCTGAACTGATACCATCACTCATTCGCTGTTCACCGTGACACACTCGCTACCGCCCACTTTTCCTTGAAAACGCTGACAGAAGAGTGTCCCGTCCTCGTCCACTCTGAGGCTGAAGATGTACTCTTGAAGCTGCTTCTTTGCCTTCGCAGCTTCGACAAGCGAGACTCTTGCTATCACAGGGGCAGCCATGCGCACCATATTGCAAGCTCAGCGGCCAGATTTACCTGCTGGGCATATCCCTGGATCAACCTCGGATGCAGCAGATTTGTCCATCTCGAACCCTAGCACCACAGCTCGGGAAACTCCAGAAAAGGATTCAGATAGGAACTTTCGGTCCTGGGCGCAGCTCCTGCCACGGGAGTTTCTTCGAGTTGGTAATTGCTCTGTGTCAGCCGTTACGGCGATGACTCGGCCACCGAATCGGCCGGCTAGCAGTCGTCTTCGTCGTCGTCGTCGTCGTCGTTGCAGTCGTCGTCGTCGTAATCGTGTCGAAGTAGTAGTAATACACTTCGCCATACAACAGTCCTTACAAGATCCTCGATAGGTCTCGACAGGTGTCATTGGCGAAAACAATGCTGATATATGGCCATCACCAACTATGATACTTCACTCTTTGAGAACGACCTGCTGTGAACGTGTGAGCCCGCGTCTTGCTGCTATGCATCTTGAACTTGCCCTTCCTAGCCTACCACTATGTTAAATTCTCAAGGAGAAGCGCCTATAGCCCGTTCCCTCGGAAGTGCGACAAAGACAAATTGCCGCCCTAGCCACCGAAAAATCCCATAGCAGTAGCTACTTTATCAACTGCATGCCGTACCTTACAGCTGTGGTGACCGCTGGTAAGCTGATGCTGCAGCTCTAAGCGGTCAGCCATCGCTCTGCGTTCTGCACCGATCAATCCGTGGCAGCCACGACATGCCACGGCCAAACCAGCTGAGCTGCACATTGTCCGTGCCCTGCTGAGTCAGCCGAGCGCCGCAGGATTGCTGGATGGCCTGGAGCTTCTCCTGGCGTGACTGGCAGTGCGTTGCATCTGTTCTTCAAGCTCAGGATTCTTTAGATTCTCTAGCCGAAGGAAAGGCGCACAAAAGCCCACTGCATCACTGGCTGTGGCCTTGTCCAGGGAGGCACAGATCGCCTGACCAGTGCGGATCTCCGCCTTCGTAAGCTGCTGGCCCTCGTTGTTGCCTCTGGTCTCGGGCAGCTACCGGAGCAAACAAAGATCATGAAATGGACATGGAATGATGGTTTCGGACTGCTGACAAGGGGACTGCTTGCTGTTGCGTGCTAGCAGCATCCGAGGTCACGGCCATAGCTCCCGTGCCCGTTAAAGAGCTCCTCCTGAATGCTTCTTGCGCGATTTCGTTGCTGGCTTATTTCGGATGAGCACTCATGTCCGGCAGGCCCTTTGCTAGCCAGAACTCACAACGCTATTAGATGCTCTGCGCCTGGGGTTGTCGTGGAGGCCGGGCTCTGATGAGCTCCTGCACCTGCACGAACCCGACTGTCAAAGCTGCATGTGACCATGCTGGGGAAATGCTGCGTCTTCCGGATTCTGGATTTATGCGGCCTTGAAAACCAAGGAGCATGAAAGCTTCACCATGCTGCTTATCAGCAATGCCTTCCTTTCAGCTTGACGTCGGCCCCGAGATGCGCCAAAAATGAGAAGTCGGTCCTGAATGTCTGTCTTTGTGTTCAAAATGTCGCCCGCCGGCCAGAGTCTTGTACCGACACCCGTCTAGTTTGCTAGCATGGCTAGGAGTGCTTGGCATAATGCAGACAAGTGACAGACGAGTCCACATCTCCCTCCAGGAAGCAGAAGGTGTCTGTTTCGTGCTCGATGTCTCTGAGGGTTGTGCCTGCGAGCGACTTAAGGACATCTGATGTCGCTGGAAGACTTACACAATGTGCCACGTTCCTCTACAACGGCAGCGAACATTCTCAGAACGTGTCTGCGCCGAATCATGATGACACGAAACATAAAGGGAAGGGAAACGCTGCGCGGGTCGTTGCATCACGGGTCAGTCTGCTTTGGATTTTCATTGGGGTGGATTTGAGGATTTGTTCAGGAACTGGACCGGCCTTTGAGAATACCAGTCAGTTCCCGCGGCACCTTCACCTGCAAGGAATTGAGACGTACCAGACTGGCCGAATTAAGCTTTTTCGATCGCCTGTAAGGGATCCGGGTAGGGGGTGGGGCGAAGCTGAAGCAACTACCCGCTGCATCCCCAGCATCTCCAAAAGCTGGAATATCCTGGCCCCTGCAAAAAAAGACGAGTGTATTATGTCTCTCTTCTCCAGGCACCTCCGTGGCATCGCTTCGACTGCTAATGTCAATGTAGACGGGCCCAATGCGCTGTTGCTTCAGCCAGGTGATGTAGTCCTGCGAGTTGCGTGATTGATTCTGATTCCGATGTGAGCATCCCGTACCGTACAACACCGAGAGCATTAGCAGCCTCAAAAAACAAGTTGCTGCCAATTGGAGAGCGGCTGGTCGTGTTTGTGTTGAAGAAACCAGCAGCAGCAAAACAAACAAGCATTGACAACAGCCATTTCTGTCGATATCCATCTCGCCATGTGGATCACCGTTCTCACACCTTCTCCATCGACAACCCCCCCACCATCCTCTTTATCACCACCCGCACTGTTGCCGTCACTCTCGCCCGAACCAGAACCATTTTCATGGTGACGTCGTCATCACCCCAAATCGTAGCTTCGACGCGTATTCGGGGGCTAGTGCAAAGCGGGAGCAAAGATCGGACCTTCCACAGTTATGTCATGGGCTTCTTGCGCAGTACGACAGGGCTGGGCCGCAGGCCTCACCAGCAACAACATTTTCTGCCATAGTGGTTCAAGCTCGAGCTCTAGTCAATCTAGGGTTTCTCTACACCGGCTCTGAGACGTCCGTGACGAAGACTAGCAAGCAAGGTCGGAATATGTCTCACTTTATGAGGTCTTGCACATGCCGAGACAAATTGTCCCGCGCTCGCTGTCGTTCGGCCCGAACGCCGGCCATGTAGGCAATGTTGCCAATGTACTCCAGGATGCAGCCTCGGCAGCTATGATGCTATGCATCCACACCAAAATGGCTCGTGACTTGACTGATTGCAGGTGCAGGGAGACAGTGAATCTATGGCAGCAGGGTCCGTTGTTCTGCGCACGACTTTCACAGGGAAGTATGCGCACTGTTGCTCAGCACCCCGCCACTCGCGTTAGCCAGTTTTCGTCGCGTTGCCCCCTCCTTCCCCAAGGCGAAGGACAACTCGTCACCTCGCGAGACTGCCATAGACTGCTCCAAGTCCGAACCGCGGTAGACACGAATTTCAATTGTAGATATTCGTGGGTACAAGGGGTTTGGTGATATGGGGCCAGGTAAGGCCAGCCTTCCATCACCCAACTCTTGTGCCAAACGGATTCTGCATCTTCATCACCGCCTACTTACAGAACGATGTTGGCTCGCCCTCACTAGTTCTCCGACACACTGCCAGCCGTGCCTTAGTACCCTCTTTGGGCGCGGGTGCCCGCACTCAAGTCATCCACCAAACGGGCTCCACGGGCTGCTTTTGTTTGATGTCCATCTGCTAGGGTGAACTGTGTTGAATCAAAAGGTGTTGAGTTGACGTGCAAGCATGCCTAGTCTCACAAAAGAACAACGTGATCGCGAGCTTTCACCTTTGCTCCGCAAGGGGGTGGAGTTCATGCCGCTCTGGGCCTGTCAGCGGCATGGTGTCGATGGCCCAGCCCCCCTGCCAGAGACTGCAAGCTTGGCTTGCTGTCGACGTGGGTTTCAGAGGCGGAACATATCTCTCAATTTATTGGGATCCCTCCTTACGCATCTACAAGGCGTCTTGGGGAAGCAGCTGATCCAAAACGCTCCGCTCAACAATTGCATCCGGCAAAGACTCCTCTGCTGCCTGCACGTCGCCAACTTCGCTCGTGTAGTGTCCTTCGGGACTTCCGCCCCAAAGCTGGCATTGCATCTAATCTCCAACATGTACAGCAGCATAATGAACTTCCAGGCTTCAGGCAACATGCTGTCACACAAGGCATAATGCCGAAAGACAACCTAGGTATCTATAGTACGATGGAGCACAAAGTGATCGAATGCACTAATTATGGAAGTAGTCCGGCAACATGCCGCAACACACGAGCCCTCCTGCTGCAACAACAACTCCATTAAACTATAACAGAGTGGCGGAACGCTGCCCCTGTATCACTTCTCCCAACACACCAAGGCTCCGAGCCTGGTAGCTTTGCCTCGATGGCAGCCATGATCTTAAGCTCAGCCCCGGCACGGCCCCAAGGGGGACCAAAGATGGCCAGGCCTTCGGCAGCACTGGGTTCTAGTTTTGGGGGCCAGATTCTGTGCAAAGGGGGCATGCAGTGGGTGCAGGCTCCCAAGCACCCGGGCGTTCAGAGGGTCCTTCTCGCTCCAGCCCGGGGCCTTGCAGCACTCTGATCCCGGATTCTGCCTCCTGCCTGTCCGCCTGTTGTCTGGCTTGGTGCAGGCCACTCCGGCCTAAGGATGGGGTCTGGTAGTCGCAGAAGAACATGAGGGTTCCCCACTCCTGCCGAGGCAGACAGCATTAGCCAATCAGTCGCAGCTTCCACGGGCGTGGCTTCTGCCTCCTCGCACGCGCGCAGGAAGTTTCCTCCAGAGCCTGGGGCTGGAAAAAAAAGACAAGGATGCAAAAACCAGGAATAAGCAATGACGCATCCCGGACAAAGATTGTGCCGAGTCCGAGAGGTAATGCCGAAACCACACAGTGTCTGGGACCTGCAGACCACTGCCCCAGCCTGTCACGAAGGCCACGCAGTTGTTTGGAACGTCCATCATAGTGAGATCTCCATCATCCTGGCAGGATGATGACGACTTTTGACGGACTGTAGCAGTGGCAGCATGTCTTGCTGCACACTTTGCTGCCTGCACAGTTGGCTCTGTGCGGGACCAAACCCATGTCACACAGGCGCAGCACGGCACATTCGCTGCTGAGTGAGCTGCATGGCCGTTGTCTACGTGCACGGGTCCGACACGTTGAGCTTGCACCTCGGAGAGGCCGAAAGCAGGCCAAGCAAATCACAATACGGCAAGTTGCGGTGCTCAGGTTCTGGCGAGAGAGATGTACTTCCTGGCCCTGGCACAAGCCTGCGAACTTATGTCCAGCGCAGCTTATCCCTATCACGACCAAGACCCAGTGACACCTGGTTCTAGCTTCCTGAAACAACTTCACAGAGCAGCAAATGGCCTCTTCCGAACCAGTCACCTCGACCGTATTATTCCTGGCGAAACAGAACATGCACATGCAATGTCGAATTTCGGCTAGAGTCCCAAAGCTCCAATATGTCCGGATTTTCCCCCCATTGGCCTTTCGTGAAGCTCTAGCCGTGCACCTGAGGTCCCATGGCTCCATGAACATTGCAGGGCATGTTGCCTCAACAGTGGAACTCTGGTGTTGCAGGCTTTGGGTTGATAAGAGAGTCCATGGCAAATACACTTGAGGACTTTAACTCCTGTCTGGCCCCGCGCGGCAACTAGTCCAAGAAGAGATGCCCAAAAGGTGTGTCCCTGCCGAACCCCGACTGACTCTCTGGGCCGGGATGCCGGAGACTCTTGCGATCTTGTGCTTGGTCTTGCCGCCCCTGCCGAGGATGAAGGCCTTGGCACCACAGACTTCTTACGGTCTGTTTGGTAGAACCATAGCAGCAAGGGACATGCGATTCGTTTACCACATCTCGAGAGCCCGTGAAAGGCTGAATGGGGTTCCTGCAGTGTCGGCATCATCGAAGTGCAAGCGCAGTCTGTGCTGAGGAGTCTCGGGACGTCCATTCTTGCCGTCCTAAGCTGCAGCTGTCGTCCCACTGGCATACTGGCATGGATTCTGTTCTCTTCTGTAAGAGATGGTGGCCTGTGAGTACGTGACCTGCTTTGCTGAGGCAATAACCTTCTTTGGCCTGCCGCCCTTTGCATGCTCCTATAACCAAGGCTTGCAGACGCTTGTGCAAAAATTGGAGGCTTGTGATGCACGGCAGCATGCTTATCGCGAGAGATCCTCCGCCTCGCCATTCTCGTGTGCTTGGCCTGCTTTCACCCACTGGAGTCGGGGCTCCTCCCACCTCCGAGTGCTGTGCAGTCTTGAACAATCTTTCCGTGCGGCTCCCTTTGTTGGAGTCTCCTTACGTTAGGAATCCTCCTCTTAGCATCAAGCTGTCCGGCTTCAGCAGAGATGGTGGAAGGCTGTCAGAAAAATCGGTTGCTGGCCGAGCACATGCCTGTCGTCCCAGGAGCCACCATAACCTCCGTAACCTGCAAAGGAGTTGCGCAGCGGTCCACAAGGGCCAGCCCTAAGCAGTTGCAAACGTTGGCATTACACTGCCGCTGCAATCAGTGTGAAAGCACACTTCAACAGAAATGCCAGGAAAGGACTTGCAAGCCCACCAGCAGCATCAGGCAGAAGAGTAGGACTCAGAGTATCAACAGGAACAAGCCAAGGCAAGACAGCCTGTGTAATCAAGTGCAATCATCACAGAGTAGTGCGATTGCCCTCATGACGACTGTGATGACGGCATCGACCACGATCGTGGCCGGTGCTGTTGAACGACTCCGGGAGAAGAGTGGATCATCGGATCAAGACTGTTTTGGCTGCAAGACCTGCAGACAAGACAGCCTCGATCCCGACATGTTGCGCACAATGCTCAAGCTGTTCGGATAACTAAGTTGACCCGTACTGGTCATGGTGATGAATCTCAGCTACTTGATATGTACATTGATCTATTCGCATTTTCATCCGCACTGACTATCACTATGCTTACCAGCAGGCCCTGACATTCAAGATAAGTGAGATTCACAATCGACACCTCCCTATCCATCGTTTCCTGTGCATAGCCCCGCATTCAGGCTAGCCACATCTGGCCATCATGCCAAGTAGTGTGTTCACATGACTCACGATGTTGATTTAGCCTATGCTTTCGAACGGCTCATCCTTTTCATTTGCATGGCTCTTCTCTTTTTTCATTCCACGGCTTGCCTATCATGAACTATGGTATTTTTCTTGTATGAACCTTTGTGACCTTTGTGGTATACTGCATACTGCGCAAGTCATATGACGCAGCATGTTCGGTTCAAGCCACCCATGGCTGATCTGTTCATACTTGGCTTCGTGGTGTCGCGTGCAAGTGCCTCCTCCACACAGCTTATCACAGACGCAGCTGCTGGTGATAAAAGCCATGCTGCAGTCATGATGGTGGACTGTCATGATGACTTGCTGATGATGGCAAGGCTGATGTTGTCGATGAACCTTGTGATGAGCACCGTGTATAACGGACACCATCACTGTAAGAACACTTACACGTAGTGGGAACCTGTACATCCATTACAATCATGAGAGTGGCAACACGCATGACATATCTGCACGCACGAACAGCTGTGAGCCGGCTACTTTTCCTCACACCGTTCGTCCGCTTCAGGTTGGAGTCGACAGCAGAGGTGGAGCTGATGCTCTTCGAGGCCACCTCGAAAGAAGCTCCACCCGCCGTCTGAGTATACGGACGTCACGGGTGGGAGAGGAGGGCTAAATCGAAACTGAGAGCCCGATGCTGAGGCATTCGTGGCTCTCAAACATGTCACTAATCACCTTCGGTGACACCAGACATATCTGCACGCACGAACAGCTG